AATAATGATAATAATAAGAATAATAGTCATAGTAATCATAACAATAAGAACACTAATCATAATAATACTATTATCACTACTAATATTAATAATATTACTGATACTATGTAATAAACACAAGGATAACAAAGGCTTTGTGGCGTAGTCATTTGTACTCAAGGCAGTATTCCTCAACCTTGCTTTGGGGTAGGGATTCTTCCGCAATTGCAGGTTTAGGATGCGGCTGCCATATCTCAGGATAGCTCCGCGAGTGCGGATCCCGTTCCCGGTATGCTCAGAGACCGGAGTCCAAGACTTCAGTTTGAGCTTCAATCCCTTTCAGGTGTTGGGGTTTGGGGTTCAGGGTTTTACGGCAGTAGTTGCGGCCTTTTCACAAGACCTCACAGACCAAAGCCACAAGGCATTTGCCATTGTCTGGTCCGTGGGATCTGCTGGGACTTCCCATCTTCGTTGGGCTGTTGTCGCGGCGTTTTAGTCCATGGGGTTGGCTTTGACGTTGGTGAGTTGGTGGTTTGAGGCAACGATTCCGGGATTCTCGAGTTCGGCGTAAACCACAATTTCCAGAATCCCAAGCTCTAAGCTCCCTGAGTCCCTAAAACCCCAAGATCCGGCGCTGGGGAGGTTCCGCGGACACTAAAGAAGTGGACTCGGCGGGCGCGTGCTTCGAGATCAAGGCGCCGTGGATTGCACCAGTTAGGTTTAGGGTTTAGGTTTAGGGTTTAGGGTTTAGGGTTTAGGGTTTAGGGTTTAGGGTTTAGTCTTCCTTCCTCCAGGAGCAGCAGTGGTATGACCATGCACAAGCGAGAGAACAATTCGCATGTGTACATGTATATTCTCGCACGCATGTACATTCATACATATGCCTGTATGTACATGTAGAAAAATATGTATGTGTGTGTATATACATACATATATATATATATATGCATACATAATTTACTCCGGATGCTGCTGCTAGTCCTGGTATAAGCAATATGCCGTGTTGACCCATAGGGCAGTCAACACAGTTCAATTAAGAGGACTTCGAAGGATGTTTTGCCGACACCCGCGGGTATGATGATGATGGTGATGATGATGGCGATGTAGTAGTAGTAGTAGTAGTAGTAGTAGTAGTAGTAGCAGCAGCAGCAGCAGCAGCAGCAGCAGCAGTAGCTGTAGCAGTAGCAGTGCTGCTGCTGATGATGATCACGAAGATGAGGACTGTCAGGATGAAGATCTGGTGCTGATGCTTCTTATTATGTTGGTGGTGCTGAAGACGATAGATCATATCGTATGTCTGTGACGACGAGGATGATGCCGACAATGATGATGGCAAGCTATTTGCGATCGCTGATACCATCTTGTTCTTGCGGAGCAGTGCACCCATCCTTCAGCAACTTCAGCCCTGATCAAATCTTGAAGACGGTACAGTAGGGATTGACATTTTGGGTGTAGGTGTCCTCAGGCCAGGGGTGGTGCAGTTCTAGTTTTGTCGGGTTGGGGCATGGAGCTTGGTGTGACAGCTTTACGCCCGGAGGACTGTTGAAAGCATTCGAAGGCCATGGTACGGGGATTCGTACAAGCAGTCCCTTTTCTTCAGTAAGGTGCCTGCATGAGGGGTTCAGGTTTCGGGTTGGACCGTGCCTCGGTCCTCCGAGGAACAGGGCGCTGTCGCCGTACTGGCCATGGAGGAGCCGACTACTCTGACTGTTCCTGAGGAAGGTGGCGAGCTGGAGGTGGTCTCGTGGGGTTCCGACGTAACCCTGAGCCCTGAACCCTCGGATGCTGTTTCTAAACAGGCAAGGCTCGCAATTCCCTCTACTCTCATGTGCTAGGCCTCTATATAGCCCTGAGTGCTGCATCCAGGTTTTTCACAGGAGTAAAGTGGCTTTGGCCACGCGTCCCAAATCCCACCCAAAATCCAAAACCCACAAAATCCCCTAAACGCTAAACCCTAAACCCTAAACCCTAGTCCGATGTTCGGTCATTTGCCAGCCCCTTGAGGTGACCTTCAAATGTGAGAAGCACATGGATCCCTGGCGGGACAGCATTTTGATATTTTGTGTTTTAATAAATACGCAGATGCCTACCGATGTAAGTACATGCACAATACATTTACATGTCGGTAGTCAATGTTGCTTTTCTTAGCTCAGGACGGTTTGCGCGTGCTCGGCATTTGGCTAGTTTAAGCTACAAGAGTAAAGAAAAGGGTCTTCCAAATACATAACTTTATCTACGACGGGGTGCTCAGTCCACCTGCTGGCGACGATTTTGGCCTGTACTTCTGAAGATAGGACTTTATGCGTCACATTCCCTCCATACCTGCGAGGAATCTAAGGAAAACGATGTTTTTGTTTGCTGTGAGGTTCACTTCCGTGTTGTTGCGATCAGGAATGTCTGTCACCGACGGTGATGATGGCACGTTGGTGATGACACTGGCACTGGTGGTGATGTTGGCAGCACTCATGGTAGCGATGCGGGCAGACCGTGACAAACCCTAAAGCCCCAAACTCTAAAGCCCAGAACCCTAAACCCTAAACCCTAAAGCCCTAAACCCTAAACCCCAAAACCCCAAAACCCCAAAACCCACAAAGACCAAAACCCCAAAACCCAAAGCCCCAAAACCCCAAAACCCCAAGACCCCAAAACCCCAAAACCCCAAAACCCCAAAACCCCAAAACCCACAAAGCCCAAAGCCCACAAAGCCCAAAGCCCACAAAAAGGAACCGGACCTGGCCGCCTATTCCCGAAGCCTGGGGCTGGATCCGGTGCCCGCGGCGTGGAATCTAGCGGGTTTAGGAGGGGTTTAGAAGGGTCCCCTTTAGGGTTTAGGGTTTAGGGTTTAGGGGTTTCGAGGGGACTTAAAGGAAGGTATAGAGGGGGTTTAGAGGGTGGTTTTGGGGGGTTTGGAGGGGGTTTGAAGGGCCAATTGAGCCACGGAATTAAGGGCCACGGAATTTCTGTAGGGTTTAGCGCCTATAGGGGGGATGAAGGGCCCGATTTCTAGGAGGTTTTCAAACGGTTCGATAGGGGCTTAATCGAGTTCAAAGCGGGCTTCTGAAGTTTAGGGGCTTCTTGAAGCAAGGGATGTAAGAGTTTAGAGGTTTATAGGGTCCCTAAACCCAAACCCAGAAGGGGATTCGGGGTTGAGAGTTCAGGGTCAAGGCTTCGGTAGTATGGGGTTTACACGAGAGAGGGCAGGCGTTTCGGGAAGTGACGGAGTTTGAGACTTTTCGTGTCCAGACTGGCATTGCTAAATGAGGTGTCTTAGGTTACCCTAAACCCTAAACCCTAGACCCTAAACTTAGGACTTAGGGTAGGCGTTTCGAGTATTTGGCTTCGTATTCCGAATGAGATCCCAGAATCATCGAAGAGCTTTCGGGTTTAGGGTTTAGGCCGACCATCCACAGTTTGCGTGGAGCAGTTTCTTGTTTTGGAGAGTGGCAGATGTCCCACGCTGTTGCGGCACGTCAAACAAAAGGCAGTCCTGTGTGGGGACTTCAGAGGGGCTTCATTGCCCAGGCTCCCATTGGGCTTGAGGTTTAGGGTGTAGGGTCTAGGATGTAGGACTTTCCAAATCTGCTTCAGGAACTTGGATAGACAAGTGTACTTAGAGGATCATGGGACTTAGTAAGTAGGGTTATAACTAAGGTAACTATACTTATAACCCCAATTCGGGGACCTGTAGCCTTACTTACTAAGTCCCGTGATCCTCCAAGTATAAGGGGACAGAAAAGGAGATGTTACTGGCCTGACTCCAAGGGGCAGCGAAACACCTTCGCGGGGAACCTCAAGAAAGAAGGCACCACAACCGTCGACGAGGGACTTGCATTTGGGCTTTGGGTCAGAGAAGGTTGAGCGTATAGGGTTCTCAACAGTGAATCATGGATGTGCACGTGCGGAGCGTCAGCTGCCGGGTTATGAGTTCTCTCCATCTGAATCGGCTGCTGTTGCCTCTCCGCAAGCCGCATACGATCAGGCCCCTAAGCCTAGACCTCGAGCCTTAACCCTTATAAGTCAGGATGTCATGGTCCAAAGTCCACATAATTTCATCAGGTTGGAGGCTCTAGGTTTCAGGATTTCCGGTGGGGGGCTTAGGGCATAGAGCCTACGCCTGAGACGCATTTCAAGATCATCGTCTGATGCCAAACCTTGCGCAACCCGAGCTTTGTGAGCATAAAACTGGCGATTTGGGGGATAGGCATGTTGCGTTGCAGTCCAATAGGTGTTCGGGAAGCACCGAAGCACAGAGCTTCGAAGGTTTCTTCGGAGCACAATGCATGAGAGCTGTAGGCGAAGGATAGTGAGAACCTGCAATCCTACCCCTTTGAGGCCTTGACTGTCTGGTGCTTAGTAGGGAATGGGGGAATGGATCCCTATGATGGTCCCTTCAAGGTCCCTTATAGTAGTCGCTATAACCCATTCCCCCATTCCCTACTAAGTACCAGGCAGTTGAGCAGTCTTAGAGCCCTAAACCCTAAACCCTAAACCCTAAACCCTAAACCCAGGCGTGTACACGAAGTCGCAGCTGAGGGGCCAGACATATCGGAGTCTCTTCAAAGGCGCTGGCCGGGACGGGGTCTCCGCGGGTTACATGGCGCCGGGATTGAAAGTTTGGGGCTAGAGATCCCTATAAGCCCTAAACCCTAAACCCTAAAAGCCCTAAACCCTAAACCCTAAACCCTATAAGCCCTAAACCCTAAAACCTTGCACCTTGAGCTTGAGCTTTGGGGTTTGGGCGCCAGGGATAACTAAGGTAACTATACTTATAGTAACATCTTCTTGCAGTCCCCTTATAGTTGGAGGCTCATGGGACTTAGTAAGTAAGGTTATAAGTCGCTTAATCGGGGTTATAAGTATAGTTACCTCAGTTATCACCCTACTGACTAAGTCCCATGATCCTCCAAGTAAGCATTTCTGCTGAGGCCAAGCGAGGGCTCATGCAGGCTCGATTGAGCCCTACACCCCCCTCTGTACGGGCATCTCTCGTTGTTAGTTAGCTTGCTATCCACGTGCCGCAGGGAGTACTGTTACTAGTAGCGTTCTCCTTTGCTATCGAATTTGCCCTTCCTCCGCCTTTTGTGATTGTGCCTGTTTGTTTTCTTTTTTGCCGTTTGAGCGGAGTGTTGATGCGTAGGTCCCTATTTATTCGGACCGCTTTGTTTTGGAATTCCCATACACAGGCCAGGATTGTGGTCACATGATGCATATGCAAAATCTTTGTGAACCCCGTTTCGAACCAACTCCTAGTGGCACTTTCTATAGACTCCTGATAGAGCCCTTAATGCAAAGCCAGAAATCATTTTGGCCTGGAGGTGTGGGCGACGACGGCGACGAGAAAGTGCTCAGGCAGAAGTTGTCGTCGGCCCAGGCGGAATGATACCGTTTAGGGTTTGGGGATTAGGTTAGGGTTGTTTAGATCTTTGGGGTTGGAGTCTTCGGGCTGATTTATGTTTGAGTATCTTGCAGATGTGCCATTGGGAGCTGAGCATGGGCCGAATCCATCGCGTGACTTGTCAGTTAACCAACCCAGTATCTGACTTCTAGGAGCAACCATTACCTGAACAGTCCAAACATTGGGTACTGCCCCCACTCAGTAACAGTTGGATAATATTTAGATTATGGATATATGAGGCCCTTATGGTAGCCCTAACATAGAGTGTTACTGTATGGGGGCAGTACCCAATCCAAACATCTCAATTGACGAGTCATGTCTTGAAGCGCTGAGTTGATCAATTTGGCAATTGACCAGTTGGTTAACATGTGATGCGATTCTTTGAGTACTTGGAGGTTCATGGGACTTAGTAAGTAAGGTTATAAGTCCCTTAATTGGGGTTACAAGTATAGTTACCTCAGTTATAACCCTACTTACTAAGTCCCGTGATCCTCCAAGTAGTCTCGCATCGACCAGTCAACGGTCAGATATGCAATTGTTCAGATGATTGGCTGGTTAGTGAACAGTCAACAACGCGTTTAGTTGCTGTGTCTTTGTGAATGTGTAGACAGGTATTCGGTATTTGCATCTATGCGTCCGCGTGCGCTCTCTCTCTCTCTCTGCGAAGGGGTTCGCTTTTGGTGTACGTGTGTGCATATATGCACACATATCAAAACATGGCAGAAACTTTTCAGGGCTCGCGGTGGAGCTAAGAGCGCCGGCAATCGCACGAAGCCATGTTTAACCATGCACCTTGCTCCCCCCCCGGCTGGAATACGCAGAAGGTAAATCCCACACCCTAGAACCCCGAAACCTCCTGTCGAGGGCTCTATAGGGGTACTCTAAGGGTTCCTTAAACGGGCTCTATAGGGGATTATAAGCCCTAAGCCCTTAAAGGTTCCTTTAAAAGGCTTGGGAAGCCCGAAACCTCGAGCCCGCCCTAGACCTCTGTGCAGAGAAGGCGCAGACGGGCAGCAGAGTCCCCCCGTCCGCACCGAAGGGGGGGGGGGGGCATCTGGTCTCCGCTTTGCTTTGCTGTAGGGTCTAGGGTTTGGGGCCGCTTTGTTTAGGGTCTAGGGTTTCGGCGGCTTTGTTTAGGGTTTAGGGTTTGGGGTTTAGGGGTCTAGGGTTTGGGGCCGCTTTGTTTAGGGTTTAGGGTTTGGGGCCGCTTTGTTTAGGGTTCAGGGTTTGGGGTTTAGGGTTTCGGGTTTCGCCCTGGAACCCGGCAAACTGGCGTTGGACTCCGCAAGGCCTAAGACCTGAGCATTCCACGCGGTCTCATTTTAAATCCAAGCCGACAATGCCTAGTGTAGCGGCCCTACATAATTACCTTTTCCTATTTTTGTGCGGCTCCTTATTATAATTATAGCGTCAAACCCCCCAAGGCCCTATATTAGGGTCCGGGTCCCGAGTTCTCCATAAAGAACGCCTAAATCCTTAAGCCCTAAACCCCCACACCCCCAAACCCCCAAACCCCAAAACCCCCAAACCCCTAAACCCCCAAACCCCTAAACCCCTAAACCCTGAACCCTGAAGCCTGAACCCTAAGCCTTAAGCCCGAAGCCCGAAGCCCTAAACAAACCACACCGAGACCTTGCAGGGTTTTCCGAAAGCCCCTGAGACGCCTCGGTTCTCTTCCTGCGAAACCTGCAACAGAAGCCCCCAGTGCCTTAATCCTAAGTAACCTGCCGTTTTAAGGTTTTTTTTTGGTAAGGAAATCATAGTAAGAAGCGCAGGTAGGTTAGTTGGGGTTAAGGTAAACACTGAAGTCCTACACTTGCACGCCTCATTACTATTCCCTAGACAAACTCTGAGGCTTTGAAGGCCCTTTCAGACCCCCCCCACATATGCCGATTCCCAGATTCCGTTGAACAACGCGGCGGAAGAGGCGGACAAGGTGAAGGAGCAGGCCCGTCGCACAAGACCCAAAATAAGGGGCCGAGGATCTTTTGAGGCTCTTGTACTAAACCCTAAACCCTAAACCCTGTAGAGTTTTGTTCCAATTCTGTAGCTTTCCACAGAGGGATCGCGGGAAGAGACCCATCAGCCTTAGTTTGTCCGGTTGTGGGTGGGTTTGGGCTTTTGAAGGGGCTTGGGTGGATCTCTGGTCAGGGCGGCAATCAAAGCTAGGAGCGCTAGGAACTTGGGTTCACGCCCCGAAGGCTTAAGGCAAATTATTATTATTGTTACAATGATAACAATAATTATTCTAATAGTAATATTATTGCTATTATTATCATGATACTATTATTGTTATTATTATTGTTAATATTATTATTAAGAGTTCTGCTGCTTGTGCCCCTGCCTCCGATCCTCGCTCTCACCGCCACCAACGTCACCGGTCGTCTTCTTCTCCACCACCACCGCTCTACTGCAACAAGTCGGTGACCAACCGAGCATGGGCACATCGTGAGTCCACATCGGCATACTTAACTGAACGCATCCGCACATGTTTTTCAGACACCTTTCCGACCAGCGCCCCCTATTTGCCACATGGCCTGTGCCCTGAGCCCCAAACCCCAAGCGTCATCGTCGTCGTGCCCCTTCATCATCAGCCGAACCATCTTGACGCCTTTAATTCAGACAGGCCTAGTGTCTCTAAGTTAACGTCCAGGTTGCTGGCATGAAGCAGCAGCTACAAGACGCTCGCACAAAGATGGAGGATGCTGCTAAGGTGCTCGGGCAAGGGCAGTGTCGCGGTTTCTGGACACTCTAAACCTTAATCCCTAAACCCTAAACCCTAAGACTCAACCTGCAGTTCAGGACTGAGCAGCGAAAGCCCCCAAACCCCAAACCCTGGGAAGCCCGAATCCGAAAAGGCCCCAAAACCCGCAAAAACCGGGGGGAGCGCCGAATTCTTCTTGCCTCAGATATTTTGGGATTTCAGACTGTCAGAGAGACCTCGGAAGCCCATGGCTGCGCTGGGGTGAGGTTTTTGAGAGGCTTAGCGCGTAGGATTTAGTTTGTAGTTTAGGGGCTTCGGTTTAGGGTCCAGGCTTCAGAGGTAGTTTGACCCTAAACCCTAAACCCTAAACTTCCCTAAACCCTAAACCCGAAACCCTAATTTGGAGCTTCGGTGTTTGGGAGGGCAAAGCTCCAAACCTTGAGCCCTAAACCTTCCAAGCCAAAGCCCTAAACGGCCCCAAACCCTGATCTAAGGGATCTTGCAAGGGTTCCCTTAAAGATTCCGTTAAGGTCATAGAGGGGCCTCAATAATGAGCTACTGTAGTATTTTCGGGGTTCCTTATGTCAACTGTAGTATAATGTCCCCAAAACTCTTTTTAATCAAGGCCCCTACATTACACCCGCAGCCCCCACCCTGAACCTCCGAGCCACATAAAGAGGCCTTATTAATCAGAATAGCATCTTGGGTGTATAGTACATTACAGTTCTAAGAAGGAACCACCGCCCCTGTATTAGCGCCTCCCCGCGGGGCGGCACAGGCTGGCGATGCAGATTTGGCGAACCAGGCCCGTCAAGAAAGTGGGTTTCCGGTGTAAAGCTCAGGTTCTGGGGTCCAGGGTCTTGGGGTTTAGGGTCTTGGGGTTTAGGGTCTTGGGGTTTAGGGTTGTTGAGGTTTTAGGGTCTTGGGGTTTAGGGGTTATTTGGGGTTTAGGGTTGTTTAGGGTTTAGGGTTTAGGGTCTTGGGGTTTAGGGGGTATTTAGGGTTTAGGGTTTAGGGGGTTTCGGGGTTCGTGGCTTTGGAGTCGAGGACCAGTCTAGGATCTAGGGTCTACCCGAAACCCCAAACCCTAGACACTTTATGTAACAAGCATAGAATATATAATACTGTCATATAACATAGTATAAGATAGTACAATATCATACCAAATTATATTTTTATAATAAGAATGCATGATACAAGAATGCTAGAGGCAAAGGCCCAGCTCGACAACGTGCTCTCGCAGCTGAGTGGCATCGATGTCGAATCCGCCAATTTGCGCCTCGACGGTCTCGAGCTCCAAACCCTGAAGCCCTCAACTCCAAACTACATTTGACAAGCTCTAAAACAGTTAAGTCCTAAAGCCCTAAAGCCGGCAGCCGCAAAGGGCAGTTTCGATGTCTTGCCTGAAGAAACAAAGATTCACGTGTTCGGATCCGGGCTCCGAGGTAGAGGGTTGAGCCTTGAATCCTTGTCCTTGGAGCATGACAAACGACACAGCGCCAGTCTGCAAGCCTCGAGCCCTCACTGATGACCCTAAGCCCTTCATCTCTAAACCCTAAACCCTAAGCCCTTCGTCCCTAAATTCCTGATCCATAAACCCTCTATCTTTGGTCCCTGAGGCCCTAAGCCTGAACCCTACACCCTGAAGCCTGACGACTGGGTTCTTGTTGAAAGTATTTAATGTAAGTTACCATAATAGAGAAATCATATTATTTACCACAGCTCCCTTTAAAAAAGTTTTGGCAACATAAATCAAATTAAATCCCTTATAATGCTGACCGCAAGGAGCACGGCTAAGCAGATGAGCGAAATGAATGCAGCGATCGCCTCTGGCGGTTTCGTGAATGGACGATCGTTGGAGACGAGGCAGCTTTCTTAGGTTTTAGTGTTTAGGGTTTCCTTAAACCCTAAAACCTAAACCCTAAACGCTTAGGGCTTTAGGGCTTTAGGGTTTAGGGTTTAGGGGTTTAGGGAGCTCTAAGAAAATCCTAACGCTTGCAGCTTTCAACCCCAAACCGGGACTTAGGCTCTCAAGCCTAACTCAACCCTAAATCCAAAACCCTAAGCCCTAAACTCCTAAACCCTAAACCCAAAAATCTGCACAAACCGTTCCCAACTCCTAAATCGCCCCCCTACCTTGTACTTTGAACCGTAAGACTTAGCGCCCGAAGCCGAATCTCGACACTCCAAGCCGTCATATAGGGGCCTTAATAACTACCTATCTTATTTTGGGTGGGTTCCCTATTTTGATTATAACATAATGTACCCCAAAACCCTATTCCAAATGTTCAGGCCCCTACATCCCTAAACCCTAAANNNCCCTAAGCCCCAAAACCGTAAACCCTATGGACCCTGCGAGTGTCTGTCTGGCCAGGGAGCTCATTGCCTTCAACGGCGTCTTCCGTGGGATCCTCGCCAGAACATGCGGAAAGGATCCGCGTGGGATATAGCGCTTGGGTGTTACCGTCCCCCCCCCGCTTTCTCCTTTTCGTTTCCCGTTTAGAGTTGGGAGCCCTAAACCCAACATCCTAAACCC